TAAAAAGTCCCCTTGCAGTGAATTATATTTGTTCTTAAAAAGGTCACTTGAGTGATCTCTCTCAGAAGCATGAGGTTTTCTCCTTCCTCATATGCTTTAGGGTGGGCACAGATCAAATTGCTTTAAGAGAGCTAAGAGGCAGACTGCAAGCCTTTACTCCTATGATTCCAATAGAGGACAGAACAGACTGGTGAATTAAGACTGCTGGTGAAAAAGGATAAAATCCCCCAGAAGGAACTCTCCATGAGGGGGAAGACTGGGCTGGTGTTCTGAGCTCAACAGCAGGCCCTGAGAGGAAGGGCTGGCGTTCAGAGCACAAGCAGCCATCTTTGATGAAGCCATCCCGACTGACCACGCCTTGGGGAATGAGGGACAGCTGAACATCCAGCTGAACAACAGATGATGAAATAACACCAAAAGGCACAACCCAACCGTCAGAACTCAGTGAACTGCCCTGTCTCTCTCTTCACCTAGAAACTGGAAATAAATCTCTTTGCTGTTTGGGGGAAAGTTTAGGTCAGGAAAGATATACTGAATTTTCTTGAGAATGAATGTGAAATAGATATTGATAGATTCTGGCCTCAGTATGAACTGCTGAATCTTGGTAGTGGCCTAACGTGGCTGACACACAAAAGCAACAGCTTATCTCCACTTCCTGTCTTATCCCCTCGGCCCTGAATACAACTTCCTTTTACCTTCCCTGCACAAGGAAAGTCCCAGTCAGCTCTGCCCCTGCCACTCAGCCCCACCTCCTAACTCCACCCCTAGCCAAATCCATAAAGTCCCAGCTCCCCTTGGTCTCAGGTCAGAGGAACCCTGCCATTTTCCTACAGTCCTCTGTCTCTGCTGTACCGAAAACCTAACAGATACATGACTACACTGCGGTCTAACACAGTGAACACAAACGTTTCTTTTTCAGGGCTGAGGACTAGCGCCCCCCACCCCCCATTCCCAGGGTTTTGCACAGGACAGGCAGGCGCCCTGGCACTGAGCTCAAACACCATATCTGAGCGTGTATTCGCATATCAGAAATGATAAGTTCAAATCTGACTATGCCTAAGTGATTTAACTACTGGACTTTGGTCATTCTCTGTTTCATCTCATGAAGGACTTGGGCTGAACTGTGTAGACCTCTTCCCTTCTCTATTTAGTTATTTCAGACCTGCTGGGTCTAGTTGAGCTATAATGGCATTGCTTTAATCCTTCGTACTAATCCATAGATTATTTGTACACTGAGGCCCATCTCTGGTCTCTTTTGGCTTGGTTTGTTCCTCTCTAAGAGAAGAAATCACAAGCTTATCAGATTCAAGGATGGAAGAGCCAGAACTCACTGCTAGGTGGGAGAAACACGGAAAACTTGCATCACTGTATGAAAATTACCACAGCCCCCTGCTCTGGCCACAATTTCTTACATTCTTTTCAAATGCAAATATTCTCTCTCCTGATCCCTCAAAGGCTCTTCCAATTAAAGCATCTGGCTCAGTCTCTATGTCTTGATCTCATCAGGTTCAGGTGTGGATGAAAAGTTGGATCTTCTCCTAAGAAAAATTCCTTTAACTAAATCACTGAGTTAATTAAATATGTTTCCAGCACTGCTGGTATTATCAGCAGTAGTATTCTTGTCAAATGTTTCATCACGACAAAGCAAAATGACCTTCCTTCCTGCTTCTAATCACGTATTCTTCGTTTCTCTTCCAACTTTCACCTTCCACCTCTTCTGAACATGAGGGACTTCTGCAGACCACTGGTCTCAAAACCAGTGCCTATATTTTGGTTTTGGTAAGCCAACCTTCATCTCCTAGATATCAGGTTGTGTTCTGCTCATTTATTATCATTCCCTCAAATATACTGGTTTAACATCATTGTATTTTGCTGAGTTTGCAGAGTTAGAAATTTGGAGAAGGCTTAGCATGGCTTTGGGGGTCTCTCCCACAATCAGATGCTGATTGGGCAACAATAATCTTTCCAACAAGACTAATTATTCCTGGGAGTGTAGCTCCGCCTGCTGACCAGGTCCCCTACACATGGTTTCTCCATTTGGCTTGGGCTCCTCCCAGCTTGGTGACAGGGTTCTGGGCTTTGTACGAAGTCTTGTTCATTTCCTATCTTTTCAGCTAATAGGGCTAATTACTCCTGGAAGAGATTAAAATGAAACCAAAGCAAACTTTGGGCTCCAACTTCAAGTACTTCCTAAGCGAATACAACAATGAACTAACCTGCTCAAATAGCTATCCATTTAGAAAGAAAATGAAATAAAAATGTATTGAATGTTAAAATTCTGCTATGACTATATACATAATGTTAGTGCAAGGATAGCAAAGGATAATTTGCATAATAAATATTCCTATTCTTTTTTCTAGTTAGTATGATAATTGAATAGCAGCCATCAGTGAAGTAGGACAAAGAGGGCTATTAGCATAAATGTTAGCTTGATCTTTCAAGGAGATTTGATTACCTTCTATTGGGCCTGCACTCCATCCACTTGAATAAGGGTGCTGCTTTTCATCAGCTGAATGTTAAGTGCCTTTCCTGCACTCAAGGGTCACCCTGGCTGGCCCTATTCAGCACATAGCAAAGAACAGCTTTTACTCAGCCCATTTTGGGAGAAAGGTGGCCTGTTAATGGTAGCACTTTCTGATGAAAAGATGATGGCTAGATGACAAATCTAGGAAGGTCCTGACTTAAACGAAAGTGGCAAAGCAAAATACTTGAGTCAGTGAAACCAACATAGCATTATCTTTCCTCCAGGGGAAAGATTTTTTTGTTAAAAATTCTAAATACTTGTAGTGCCCTTTGCCAAGCATTTTCCCTCAAGCTTCTTTTAGTCCAACAGTGCATATAACTGAAGAATTAAGTTTAGCTTTGGATCAAGCTAATTAAAATTATTTATAGTTCAGGATGAAGAAAGTGTATATATTTAGTGATTTTTTAAAAAATTATCTATTTTAAGTCATGGCATCAATATTAGTGGGGAATCTCTGAATTGAATAATCTCTAATATTACACATAGTTTTTCACTGAGGGACATTTATCTTACAATTTGCTTATGTGAATTAAGGCATTTACAGATTGAATCTGAAGATCTCAAACTAAAAGCAAATTTCTTGTCTTATTCTGGAGGGAATGGCAGCAGGGACAATTCATTGTGTCTTCAGGACCGTGGCATAGTCCCACAAAATGTAAGGAAAAAAAGACATCCTTTCGTGGGTTACAAGAGACTGGTGTCGCCTGATGATGGTGGAGAGCCAAGCCGATTATGGAGCCAGGCCTTCTGCTGGGGAAAGTCCCCAGGGTGAGACCTTGGGGAAATTCTTACATGCATTCAGATTTTAATAGCTAAAACTATAGGCTTTAATAGAAATATGGTAAATTATATTTTTAAAAATGTATTAAAATTCACAGCCCCTAGATTACTCATTCAATGGTAGGAAATAAATTACTCCCTAGTACTATTTTGGTAAGCCAGCCTTCGTCTCCTGGGTATCAGGTTGTATTCTGCTCATTTATTATCAGTCCCTCAAATTCATGGGGGTTTAACACCCTTGTATTTTGCTCTGGGTTTATTATTTGTGGAACGAGGTATTACTCCACTTATTGATCATGAGAGCTCTGAAAGGTACACATTTCTGTGATTTTTCATGTGAGAAAACAGGTCAAATAACAGCTTGACCCCTCCTCCCAATAATATGATAGAAACTGCAGATTTTCCTGATTCTAAATCTTCTAACTATCAAGCCACAAATTTCAATTCCATGACAGAAAGTAAAAATAATCAAAATTATAAAGACAAGAACGATACATCCCGAAGTTAGAGGAAGTAAAATCCTATGTGTTGTACAAAAAAATTTATTTTATTATAAATGACATTCAACTTACATGTTGTACATAATACTTTATTTAAATTAATATTTAGAAATTAAAATCTTTTTAAAAGACTCAGAAGAGCATATTATTTAGTTTTGTTCTTATTCTTCTTATGCTCTTATTCTTACTCTTCTCCCTATTCTTTTGTCTTAAATGTTAAAAATTCCCCAATTCTATGTAGGTTTGCATGGTAATATAAAGATTATATTTCAGAAATTATTTTCAATTGCTCTTCCTAAAGTACTTCCATTATTGGAAGATAAAACTGAAGACCAGAGGAAAAAAATTTCCATTTTTCCCTAGATAACACACAAGTTTCTGTTATTGCATTCTATGCATATTAACTCGATACCATTAATTATTGGTACTAGAAGCTAATATCTGAGTTTAACAACCTTCCACCTAATCATAGCACGTGAAAGTTTCCTGAATTAACACCTAAGGGACAGTACTTATGTCTCTGGGGAAAAATGTGGAATATACTTAATAAAATTGTGAAACTTCTTTCCTTAAAATATTCACTCTAGCTTCTTTTCTAGTTCTTTAAAAGTCCAAATAAAACATCTCTGTATCTTTCTTCTTTTGTTTTCACTTTCCATAAAAACATAACAATGACAATAACAGGATATTTCTTTTTCATGGGCAAAGAAAATAGAACACTTGAAAGAAAACAGAACGTTGTATGCCAATGAATTATCTGGTAAAATTCTTAATAATTATTAGTTTTTTTTAAACTTGCTTTAAAGACATGCTGGCATATTACTTAAACTGATTTGGACCCTACTTATTGGCACATAGAAAAATTAATATTTTATATTAGTAATAATACAGTTTATTAGAATTTTATAGAATATTTACAGAATTCTAATTTAACAGAGTTTTAAAAGAACACATGTTTTTTTTTCTTTCTTCTTTATAATTGTATTTACATAAGTAACTCTGGCTTACACTTCACTAAACTTTTGTGTTGATTTTTTGTCTGCTACACAATAAGTCCTGCTAATGGGCATTCCTACCAGAAAAGATAACAAGTAATAATGAAAAGGCTTCAGGAAGAAAATAATGTTTCACATGTGACATTGACTTAGGGTTCCATTAGCAAATGTTACATATTGTCTGTGTCTGTGTTTACTCACCTACAAGTCCTACAAGAATGTAGCCCATAATAAACACTAGGAAGATCATGCAGCACACAACATCTGTACAACTCCTAAAGACAGAAAAAGAATAAAGGATTAAAAGGGGTCCCCCATGATTTGTCTACTGCACAAAAATATAGGAAAGGAGGAAAAAGGTGATCGCGATACACTACGTTACATTCCATACTCCGGACAGGCAGGTCAGATGCAGTCTTGCAATCCAAGGCTTTAGTAGCAATTGCAAGGTCATATTTCCATGTTTAAAGAAACTTCCTCAGAATTCTTTCTAGCCTCTGTAGTTTAAAAATATCTCTGGAAAGTAGAGTACATTAGCATCTAGTAGATATTTTTTAAAAAATTAAAATGTAGTATAAACTCCTTGACTTTCCTTTTCACACCTCCCCAGCACATGGCATAAAAATAGTGAGCTATTTTGCTTTCCTTTTTTTCTTTTTTCTGTTTCTTCTTCTTCTTTTATTCTTTTTTTTTTTTTTTTTTTTTTTTTTTTTTTTTTGTATTTTAGGGAAGGATCTACAGGATGTTCATGGTCTCACTACTAGATCAGACTCATAGTGATCCGCCTGTTTACAGCCTCCCAAGTGCTGGGATTACAGGCGCGCGCCTCCATGCCTAGTCTCAATCACCGGCTCAGCATGCCCCGGGGCAGGACCGGCACAGCAGGCCTGGTGATCAAGCCCTGGCCCCTATCTCTGCTTGCAGGCGCTTTAATCCCCTGAGCTATTTGGCCAGTCCTCCCAGCCCTCCCATTTTCTTTCTCAGTATACATTTTCACAGCACAGTTATTAAAAGATTGATTATTATCAATCTTCTATGGTTAGCAATTATAACTAATGTAACAATAGCATACAGAAAGTATTAAAAAACAAAATTCTGGGGCTGGTGAGATGGCTCAGTAGTCTAAAGCACCTACTTAGAACAAACTTAGCAAAGCACAGGGACCACGGTTCAATCCCCCAGCACCACATGCCAGCCAGCCCCGCCCCCGGTGGGCTGAGCTGGCCACACACACACACACATAAATAAATAAAATTAAAAAAAAATTCTCCTACAAAGTGTAATTCTTGCATCTGTCCTACAAGTTACATAGTGTAAAATTTGGTTTAGAGAAAATCTGACTTGGAGACACTCAGTGATTTTCCAGAGCCAGAGCTGCACCAGGGTCCAGCAGAGACAGAAGGTTGTCACAGTTTGGAAAGCTGAGGCTATGCCTGGAAAGTGAGCACTGACAGTGCAGTTCTGTACTTGAAACTTAATGATGAATGCTTTCATAAAGAGAAAGGTCAGCCCACCCAACAGGGTTGTAAAGCTGCATCTCAGAATTTTCATAGAATAGCCTTGATTATGAAGGCGAGTGGACATGCTCTAGGTGTGTAGCACAAGCAAGGCGAAATTCACACTTTTCAAGAAGTGGCAGTAGCACAGCAGTAGTCACAAATGGCAACTGCACACTAGCAGACACTACTTCACAATGATAAACCTTGTACACCTTTATTGATTAAGCCTCATGGGTCTGTGTATTTCCTAAAAATATCTTTATGTCACTAGGGGTAGTGAGGAGAGTTGACTCAAGGAACATGAGAAGACAGTTACAGAAGAAGGACAAATATCTAGGTCCTACTACCTACTTATTTTCAGTTACATCAATACATCTACAATTTTCTGTAAAGATGTAAAACAACTACATATGAAAATAATCATACATGTTCCTATAATTCTTTATAAGTGATAGATCCTTCATTAGGAAAAAAATTATGGCCAACCCCAAAATGAACTGTACATGTTTTAAATCCAATTTTTAAGCCAGGAACTTCTTGATGCATTTATTTGTATTTCAGAATAAAAAAAAATTAAAAGACAAAATGAAATACCCTAGCACTTTTTGTTTAACAGCCTCCTGCTTGGAGGTGGGGAGGGTGTCTGAGTCACACGCCATGTCTTCACATGAGCTAAGTCAAGCTCAGGAATCACCTTCCCAAAGCAGTTGCTAAGTAGCTAGACACCTAATGGTGATGCCTGTAGGCAAGAAGACAAAGAAGGAAAGCTGGAGCCCTGATGTGCTTTCATGAGAAGCCCTGCAGTGGTCAGAACTCTTGTGGGTAACAGAAAGTTCTGGAAGAGAGAAGAATGTGATGCAGGAGAGCCAGGTTGGTGCAAATGCTGTTGCTATGTATCTACCATGTTCCATGTTGGTATCTGTAGCTTTGTGTTCTACAATACAGTCCAGTACATGAAGACGTTCCAGTGATACATGCTACTGTAATGTCCGGCATTAATGGTGTTGGGTGGTAAGCACTAGAAGAGGTAAACATACTAAAGGTAAATGAAAGAAAATGACCAATTTCAAAGGATGGAGCACAAAGAAAAGAGCAGAACCCAAACAGAAATTTCACAGAAGGTAAGACCTACACTATCTTGCCAGTGACACGGATGAATGGGCACCCACTGCAATTTTTGTTTCATATTAAGGTTTAGGCTCTGATTCTTTGTCTCTTTTGATGCCAAGGACCCTTGGAAGCATCAAGAACCGACTCACGATCACACAACCACTCACTCCGCAGTCTTGCTGTCCCCACAACGCTTAGCATTTCTCACGCACCTGCTCCATAAGTGTCTGGGGATGAGATTCAACAGCCAAGGAGGAGATTGTCTCCAATTCTGCCTTGTTTATCTGGTGCTCTGCTTTAAAAAAAATAATAGTGGGCTGTGGTCTCCATGGCCAGAGTGCATATTTGTATGGTATTTAACACAAATGATGCTGAATAAGCTGAAAATTATGAATAGAGCATTAAAAAAAATCTCAAGAAGTAGGAACATCAGTATTTGTAAATCTGTTCTGGAAGTGACTTTATTCCTTTCAATGAAAATTTAGAAATTTCCTTTCAGCCATTGACCAGATCACTAGTGAGAAGAGTCTGAGATCAGGGAACTCAGGATCTGAGGACCAGCAGGAACAGAAACAACATAGTAGGATCCCAGCAAGAGTGCACACAATGGACAGGTGGGACTAGTGAGGGGAAAAGTCTGAAGCAACAGTTATACTATGGGCAAGGAGGTAGCAAATTAGGTGAGCCAGCAAGCCAGCCTCGTGCTGAGGGCTTGGGGACAAAGACACAGGGAACAGGATCAGGCATGCAGTGCCACTGCCTGTTCTTTTCTTTCTTTAATTTCTTTATTTTTCCTTTTTTTTTTTTCATCTTTTTTAAATGGCTGGGCAGAACTCTAATACCATCCCGCAAGTCCAGAGATGAAGGTCAGACTCAAGCCCAGCACAAGTCCACTTGCAATCTTGGCCAGAGTACACATTCTAGGGTCAGATTTGGACTTAGTGCAGAACTGCAGACACCAGGGATTTCACTACTTTTACTTTCCTCTGCCTGATAGATTTTCCTCTTGGTAGTCAGTGGGGTTAGTGCATTTGTTTGTTTGGTTGGTTGGTTTCTTTCTGTTTCCTTTTCTCTTTCTCTCTCTTCTGTTCTGTCCCATTTTGTTTTTCTTTCTGTATTTTTTCAGTGGATATAGTACTGTTTCTTTTCTTTTTTTCCTTTACTACTTTTTTCTCTCATTCACTAATTAGATCTCTAATCATTCTTTTTGTTTTACTTGCTCTCTTCTTCTCCTTCATCTTCAATCAATGATCTCATTTGATTTTGTGATACTTTCATGTGAGCAAACATAGCCTCTTCTCTTTCTGGTTCACTTCAAAACTCCGAGACCTTTTCTTCCAATTCTTCCCTCTTATGTCCAACAATTACCCAAAACTTGGAACATTATCTATCTTATGCCCTCCAACCTTGCTTCTACTATATTTAACCTCATTCATCTCTCCATCTCACCCCCATCCCCTTAAGCCTTTCCACAACAGGGTAAAATCATGTACTAACTGGAAAAAAATTGCATGAAATTTCCTGGTATAAGTTGAATTATGTTATGTAACTGAAGAACTCACTCCTGTGCTTAAAGAATTCAGGATAATAGTTACCACATTTTGTCAGTAGTTAGGCTGTGCTTGAATCTATTGTTATTGCTAACAGTTCTACTTTAACCAGGTTGTCACACCTGTTATAATCAGTTTTTCTCCCTTGTATAACAATACTGTGATTGCAAGGGGTTATAACCATCACCATAGTCCAGTAACAAAGGAAAGGGACTTGAGTTGAACAGATAGCAAGTCTACTTACTTAATATATTGGGAAGGTAGGTTCTTGGGGTAGACACTGGGACCAATAGCCACTTATACCTAGAAGAAATCCTGAGAAACATACATCTCCTGGGAAAGCCTTGACACCAGATATAAAGCTATCTAGCATAAGAAATCTATAAGCATTGGCACACAAAAATATAAAATATAAAATCAAATAGAAAATGGCAAGAGAAAAAGTAAAATGCAATCTCAAATATCCAGCCAACCCAAGAAAAGTTCAGAGTACAAAAGAGTAGAGGAGGAGATGGATCAGTAGAGTAGGTGTTTGCTTGGCAAGCACAGGGCCTGAGTTCAACCCCCGGTTCTCCAAAAATAAAAGAAAAAAAAAAGAAAGAAAAGGAAAGAAAGAAATAGAAGAAATATGAAGGCAGCCCCTGGAATTCTGAATGATAGCAGCAGAAGTAAAAACCAAATGGAAGAGGCCACAGAAAAAATAACCTCTAAACTACAGAAAGAAGGGACAGCCAGATAGCTCAACAGACTAAAGCATCTGATTCAGTGGAGTGCAGCAGCTGGGGTTTGATCACAGGCGTGCTGTGCCATCCCCATCCCTGGGATGTGCTGAGACAGTGATTGAGAGTGGATGTGGTGGTAGGCGCCTGTAATCCCAGCTCTCAGGAGGCTGAACACAGGTGGATCAGTACAAGTCCAATCCTTGTAGTGAGACCCTACAGATAATGTAGACCCTGAACTAAAATACAAAATAAATAAATAAGTAAATAAATAATGATAAAAATGAAAGACATTAAAGCACATGTAGATTTTAATAAAGTAGAGGAGCTCAGGAAAATGATGGAAACCATGAATGCTGAACGGAGACAAAAAATGGAAATAATGAAACAGATTCAA